TCGTCGTCGGAGAAAGAGGTAGAAAACTCACTTTTTAACCATGAATTTTTGCCTCTCTGACTTTGTTATATGATTATGATTTCCTTCTTGAACACAAGAAGAAACATTTAAAGGGAGTCCAACTTCTTCCTCCAATACGAGTAAATGGTGGACAAGGGAGCTTGAACAGGGGATCACGGTTGTCGTTGCCGGGGAGCTTCAGCAGTAGCTCACGGTGGATGGAGGAGACTGAACGAAAAGCTTTAACAGTTGCTCATGGTGGATGGTGGACACTGAAAGGAGAACTTCAATAGTGGCTCGTTGACGGCAAGCTTGAAGTTGGGAGATCGTTGACGGCAAACATGCAAATGGGAGATCATTCACGGCGAGCTTGAACCTGGGAGATCGATGATGGTGAACTTGCAGATGGGAGATCGTTGACGGCGAGCTTGAAGATGGGAGCTCATTGACGGAGAGCTTGATTGGTGTCCTTCCCCTTCTTTCCTTCCTTTCTTTTAACACCAAGATGCAATGGGCAAAGTAGTCACAAAATTAATAAAAAAGGTAATTTTGCCAATTTAAAAAAATTATGTGCATATGATGTCATGTAACGGTCAACTAATAATGACCTATTAAAGATAAATTGAAAGTTCAGGGTCACGATTGAAAATTCAGAAACTGATTAGACACAATCCCAAAGTTCAGGGTCTTATCTCGAATTTTTCTAGATGCTTTGTGATTCGCGTTGCGACTGTAGCCTGTAGGATCGTATGCACAGGATGTGACCAGCTTTTTGTTGTTAATAAATCCGAACTCTCTGGAGAGAGAGAGAGAGAGGTAAGTGATAGTCATGCAGAGGTGGGTGGTGACGGTTTTTTGCGCTACTGGACCCATATAAAATAGATAAAAAAAAAGAGTGAAAATCTTGAGAAAATCAAGGAAGATCGGAATTTAAGTTCCAAAGGTCACAGTCCAAGCAAAATTATGGTGGCAACGATGCCAGGCCATACATTAAAACAAGTTCGAATGCTCCAGGTTAGAAACAAGCTTATTTTATTTCCACTAGTTCTTTCACGATAGCTCCGTTTCTTTGGATCTCTAAGTTGATCAGACCAAATTTGGATAGGTGTAAATCCAAATCCAATATGATAATAATCTAAGATATTCAATTTTCTATCAAAAAATTTCAAATTTGATTCATAATTGAATAGGCAATTGGAAATCTACAAAATCGAATACAAAGCACGAAATTATATATTGTAAATAAACAATAATAGGTTTAACTAGGGCAAATCCCTTAAAATATTTTTAGGAAATGTACTAACTTTATCTTTAATGCCAAAATATTCCTTTAAAATTCCCTAAGTTTTTTGACAAGTGATTATTAATTCGACCCCCTACTATTGGTGTGTTGTGCCTGTTGCATTCCATCTTATCTACATATATTAATATATGAAATGGGTGTTCTATCCGTGTGTTAAATGGAATCTATTCGTGTGAATAGATTCACGATTTCACGTGTAATTGTTTTGTGTGTATTTGTTGACTTCTCGGAGAAGCTTTGTCTCCGATAATGTTTTAATTGCAAATAAAAGGGGTACTTGCAAGATAGAATACATGTCCATCTCATTGTGCCACCCGTTTAGGTTGCCTTAAATCATTAAAAGTTGTACCAAAGCCATTATGTCTCAAGGGATTATACTAATATAACCATTATTCGATGGAGAGGCATGAATTCATTCAAAGATAAACATAACATAGTCCTCTAGCTTGGCATTGAGCTTAAAAGCCTTGGACGTTTATTGGTGGCTATCTCTATTGCGGGAGCCAACCATGATCATCCTTGGTGTAACACTCTTTTCAAAAGTTCAACCAAATTGGAGGCCCTAACCCCCCCCCCCCCCCCAACAACCTTGGTTTGTATCTCAGAGATGGATATATTAAGGGAAAAAAACTTGGAATTCTGTACTGCAATGGCCCACACGGGTCATAGCACGAAGCAACTGATGTGCAAGGGTATGTAAGCCATGCTTTTCAAATTCAGCACAACTTTCACTTCTCCCAAATTCAACCTAGATTCAAAATCATTCACATATCTAAATCATGACATAATAGGAAAACACACCAAAAAGTCTCAACTTCCTAAACTTATCTTCCCGCCCCACCTCTCTCTTCCCACTTGTAGTTTTGACTCAATTTTATAGAAGAAAATAGGGGCAAGGCAAAGCATAGCAGTTCACTATCAATTTTACAGAGAAAAACAAGGGCAAAGCATAGTCATCCCAAGTATGTATTTTCGGCCTATGTGGATTGGTTTTAATGAAAATAATGACTGACAATGCCATTGGATCCATTTGGCAGCTAAAACATGGTGTTTATTCTCATTAGTTTATTTGTTTTGCAGGTTTTTGGTATAACCAAAACAGGGGTAGTGCAATCATTTTTGCATTCTCCCAGGTATGTCTTTGTAGCCGATGTGCATCATTTTTATGAAAACAGAGGTCAAAGGTGTCACTATATCTATTTGATAGCCAAAACATGGTGAAAAAACACCTCTGTATTGCTACTATGTCGCCACATCGAGTGACCACTGTGGCTTTTAGGTGGGTAAAGAAGAAGGTTTCAAATGCTCGGGTTTTATACAATCAGCGATAACTTTTAATTACAATTTAGTAATGTTATATTTTAATTTCAATAATAATTTTGATAATCTGATAATTTTCAAATTGTTAATGTTTTTATTATTACATCATCAACTTGTTAATGTTTTTATTATTACATCATCAAATTGTAATATTCTCTCAAATATTTGGGATTACCCGCCCGTGCTTAGCACGGGCGCCCCTTGCTAGTTATATGTAATGCACATGACTGTCAAAATATTTTTAAAAGCCCAATTTTGCCCATTCTTTCTTCTTCTTCACCATCTCTAACCATCAAGAGAATAGGGATGCCACTACTCATTATTGTAAAGTCAAACCTCTGCCACAATGTTAAATGTTGGCCGTAGAAGATGAAAAAAAAAAGAGTAGTTATAAAAGATTTCTTTTTTATTTTCCATTTTCTTTTAAGATGTTTGGTTGATTTTGATTCTTTGCCCAAGGAATGGGTGGCAAGGTTTTGCAGAAAACAGGCCTTAGGGCAAGTTTGAGAGTGCTTAAAAATATGTGCTTATTTGAATAAGCACTATTTTTCTTAAAAATAAGTCCAACTAAAAAGCCCAATTAATAAATGCTTATTCCTCAAAATAAGCACTTTTCTCATGAATAAGGCCATGTTTAGTGCTTAAAAATAAATGTTTATTTGGACCTGGACCACACCATTAAGCACCTATTGGTGTTTGGGAAATAAGCTCAAAATAAGTTATTATTTTAAAAATAAGGGCCTATTTTAAGTCCAAATTTCTAGTTTTTTTAAGTGCTTAACCAATAAGCACTTCTTCTATTTTTTCTACCAAAACTGTCCCCATTTAGAGATACCTTCTTCCTCTGTAGTTCTTAAAGCTAAATGTTACAAATTCTCTCATAAGCAAGAAAACCAAAGTCCAATTTAAAAGTAAATTTGAATAAATTTTCATAATTGCGCAAATGTAATAAATTTTCCAATTTTTCATAAAATTACATTTTTTTTAAATTAAAGAGAATTTAGTGTGTTTTTAGAAATTTACCATGTGGCTGATACCCTTTTGATCATTTTTTGTCATCAAATTGAATATTGGGTTGATGGGAGTGGGTGCCTTGCCTTGCTCTGAATTTGCCTAGCACTGAGGACGAGGTGGAAAATTTTGAGGATTCCCCATTCCTAACGGGGAGTGGGTGCCTTGCCTTGAACCCGCCTAACACTAGGGACAGGGTGGGGATGGGGTAGAGTGTTTTGAGTACGGGGTAGGGATAGGGATGGGGTGCCCCTCCCTAAACTCGTCCCATTGCCATTCCTATATAATTGTTAATTATTAGTGAAATTATTAAAAATGTTAGAGTTTATAATTATTTTTATCTATAAAAAATTCATTTAAAAATAATGAAAATAATAACAATTATTAAACTTACTATAAATGATTAATAAAATTAAATTTATTCAAAAATATTTGTTCATATTAAATTAACAATAATTATTTTCTATAAATTCACATTAAATGAAAAATATAATTATTAAAATTTAAAATATTAACAATAATTTTAAATACTTTTACTTAATTAAAAACAAATTTTAATTATTAATTTATCAATTAGTTAACTGGATGTTGCATATAAACAAATTGTGCCCTTTCAAATTATGCTAGATATAGTTAATTGGATGTTGCATATAAACAAATTGCACCCTTTCAAATTATAGAGAGACTCTCTCATCTTCATCTGCAGCTACATATGCACTTCAGAGATAATTTAAAAGATTCTAGAAGTTGCTCTTAAAATGAATTGAACCTTAACCTATATGGTTTGAAAACAAAGCCCCATAAGGCCCATGACCATTTCACCTATGGAAACTTGTTAAATTTTTTAATAAATAAGTAAAACAAAGCCAATCAGGGTGGTCAGTTGTCTGCCAGTTCGTAGTTATTTGTCTCTTTTCCCTGAAGGTAAGGGAATCCATTTATTTCATTTCAACATAAAATGGATGATTTTTTTTTTTGAGACTGATGAAATATAATTGATCTATACTTTTGCTCAATTTGTAACTTTTTTTTGAGTCAATTACTATTTACATGCACCAAAACAAATATCAGATGATGAGGGGTGGAAAATTTTTTGTTTATCCTGATTAAGGGACAGGATTGAATAATACCTATAACGCTACAATACATATATAAAAGGATCAAGGGAAACTGTGTACGTACTTTATGCAAAGGGATGATCCTGCTGAGAGAAAAGTCGGTACACAACGAAGTTGCAGTGCACCTTCCTCTGCTAACATTCTCACGTAATTTAGCTATTACGCAACTTCTTTGAAAGTCTCTCTTTTTCTCTCTCTGTAACAACTAACAAGTTGCCAGTCATAATTATTTCTGTCGATTTAAACTTGCTGATTCAATTGCTCCCTCCATCCACAGTTTCGCATTCCACAGCTTATTTAAAGACGGTCGACCGTGGCTCTTCCCTTTTGTTATTGTAGTTGTTGTACAAATTAACCAAGGTCCAAGGAGCCCTCTCTCTAGTTTCATAGATAGTCTATCCTAAATTTCTAATGGCAACCGTTAGCATTCCCAAGCCATCCAAATGGTTCTCCAACAAGAGCTTCAAATTAAGCATTAATCCTCGCCGTCGCCCTCCTAGTCCTAATAACCCACCTGACGCCGACGACAACAGCCATTCAGATTCAAGGAGGAGCCCTGAACCTGACAATCATCATCCTGTGTCGTCTTCATCATCAATTAAGGACAACACGCGAGCGCGAGAGAATGAGCTACAGGAAGTTTTTCGTTACTTCGACTGTGATGGCGACGGAAAGATCTCGAGTTACGAACTCATAGCCTACTTCGGATCGATAGGCGAGGAGATGTCACAAGAGGAGGCACAAGGGGTGATCACTGATCTTGACTCGGATGGCGACAATTTGTTGGATTTTGGAGATTTTGTAAGGTTGATGGAACGCGAGGGTGGTGGTGGGGAAGATGAAGATGATCTAAAACAGGCGTTCCAGATGTTTGAAGTGGAGAAGGGTGCTGGCTGCATAACACCCAAAGGCTTGCAACAGATGTTTACTCGCCTCGGAGACTCTAAATCGTTTGAAGAATGTGTAGCCATGATACAGATATTCGATCTTGATGGCAACGGCGTCATTAATTTCCACGAGTTCCACATTATGATGACTACTTGATCATAAACACCTCTTCTACGGTTCTACCCTACCTTTGTCGTATTTCGTGCATGACTCACTGTGTTTCTTTGATTTTAATATGTATATGCATATAACTATGTATGATTTTTGTACAGTTGACCTGCCTTGGATTTCGTCCTATATGTAATATGTATGGCGTCCCAGTTCCAGTTCCAGTTCCGGAAATGGATTCTGAGCACTGTATCTTTAAGTCTAGGAGGATGTGGACTACCCTAGATTTTCCCATATATTGCAACGGTACATAATCATGTGAATTGGAGGCCCAGCCATCTAGCCAACTGGAACTGGACAACTCTTAAAAGCCAAGCAAGCGCGTAAGGAAGCTAGGAAATTAATAAAAAAGAAAGAAATTCAGATTACATAAGCATCTGACATCAAAGATTCAAAGTATCGATGTATCGTGCCCATGGCTTTCCGATGGGTCAAAGAGTAATTGTAATTGGGTCTTAAATTGATTCCTCTGAATTAATTTCAAAAAAATAAATAAGACGTATAAAAAAAGTACTGGTACACCTGGCCCGTGTCAATCAATACTTTAAGCCTTGACTGAGATTTTAACATAAAAAAAAAAATCATTTAACCCAATAAAGAATACCAAATGCAGCTGTAACATTTTACCATTTCTGTCATTGAGGGGGAGTTCATTTTTTGGACTTTGAAAAAGAGAAAGTTGATGAACAATCGATTTGTTCAGTTAAAAATTGAATCAAATAAATCGAATTTTTAAAAATCTTTTTTTAAGGAAAACCAAACCGAAATCAAAGTTTTCCCAAACCAAAATTCTCATTCTGTTATATATTTTGGTTATTTTGCTTTAAAACCGAAATAATTAACAAAGAACCTATAGGGGTGACGTTTATACCTTGGTCAGGCATTTCTAGCTTTCAAAGACAATTTTCTTTCAAATTTCAATTGCAAAAGCCACCGGTGACCACGCTATCTATAAAAGCAAAGCCACGAAGCAGGGGCAATGTCTAAGAAAACAAAAAATCAATGTTCTCTGTCTGTCGCCTAACAAAACAAAAATACATCTCTCTTACTTAGAGAACCCAGCAGATAAGAAAACAAAATACAAGGGATGAAACGAAGAAAAAAGGGGGAAAAAAAGAAAAAGAAACATTACCTGAGTTGTTTTTCGCTGGACTATCGCTACCGGTGCCGGAAATGAAGAAGTTTGTTGGAAGTTCAGCGTTCGGTCGAAGTTTGCTACACCGGCCACCACTGCTGAAACAGAGAGTTATGAGACTTTTTGGTCTGGAGTTTGGTACTTGAGTTTGGTTGGAGATGTAACGGTTTCTGGTCACGTATCAGTTTTTTTGCTAAGTACCTCGTCATTTGGTCTGCTCTCAAGTGGCCTGTTATTCAGAGGCTAAAGTGGAGCTCCCTAGTGTAGTGCAACCCGGATGTTCCCTGCAGGAGCTAATCTGCTCCTCTTTGTAGCTGGCGGGAACTGAGGGACCTACGAGAACTGAATCAGAGAACTCGGGGGTGTATGCCCGGCGAAGTCACTCCGATGGCTAAGTCAGCACTTAGTAGTGAGCTGAATGTGATATTAGAGAATGATAGAGTTAAGCAGGGGTTACTATCATCATCCCTCCTCCCCTCTGGGGGGGGAGGCCTTTATATACTGGAGTTCTCGTGGGTTAGGTGGAGCAATTCTTGGATTCCCGTTGTGATGGGACCTGCTTTCGTGTTAGGTGGGGATAAAGCCACCAATCGGTAAGGTTGCCAATTTCCGCCTAAGTCGGGGAGTGGGTAAGCTAATATAGCCGTTACAAGTCACAATCCCGTAAAACGCGGGGTACGGTGGTGAGCTCCTCGGGGTTGTCACGCGGTGGTCGATCTGACTAGGAGGCGACCTGCCCGTAAGTAGACCTGTTCATGGGCCGAGTGGCCCAACGGGCCGGCCCGGCCCCCGGACGGGCTTGAACACCTATACAGGCCTGCGGGCTTAACCTCGGGCCAAAAAGCCCAGCCCGCAATAAATTCGATCCGGGCTCGGGATTTGCCAAAATAGCCCGGCCCGGCCCGACCTATAACTAAACCTAAAAACCCTAGTCGAATACCCCTCTTTTTTTCACCTCTTTCCCTTCTTTTTCCAACCGAATTCTTCTTCTCCACATCCTCTTTCCCTTCTTTATATTCTTTTTTTAATATAAATAAAATTTGAATTTATATATTTTTAATGTAAATAAATTCTGATTTATATTGATTATTGAATAGGGAAAATTTCTAATTTTTTTTATTAGGTCGGGCTTCGGGCTCGGGCTCGGGCCCAAGTTGTAGGCCCGTTGGTCGGGCCGGGCTCGGGCTCGGGCCTAACATATTTCTGTTAATGAAGAGTAAAAGCCCGGCCCGACCCATGAACAGGTCTACCCGTAAGTGGCGAGCTACCTGTAAGTGGCGAGCTCAAGCTGCACTTAGTTGTCAAGAGGCTGCACTTAGTTGTCATGAGGTGCTAGGTGTCACAAGATCATTGGAGGGACAAATCCGCCCTCATCAGTTGGTGTTGTGTCTCTCGCTAATGAAATTAGGAGTGAGCAAGAAGAATCGAAAAATCGAATTGAGCTGATGAGATCGAACTGAAAACTTTGGTTAATCGAATCATTTTATTTGGTATTTTTGAAAAATCAAAAGTATCGGTTCGGTTTCAGTTAATCAATATAAAAAATCGATGGTTAATTGAGCCAACCAGTATATATATTATATATATTTCTAATTTTTTTATTATATATTTATATATATATATATATATTTTTTGCAATATACTTTGTAAAGTCAAAAACCAAAATACCGAAGAACCGAATCGATGGTTAACCTAACTGATAAACCGGTTAACCAATCAACTTCGGATTGATTTTGGTTACCAGCTTTCCAAAAACCGATACTACGGTTCAATTTAAAATTTAGGCCGACGATTCAATTAACCAAATTGTGAGCACCCCTAGATGAAATAGCAAAATAAGGTTTGGGTTATACTTTTAGTCTTTTAGACTTGAAAGAGGAGGGATAAAATGAAAGTAAACTAGTGAAACTACAAAAATTGGGCTTGAGCTGGGGTTTTTCATTATATATATATAATATATATATATTAACATGTCCTTAGAAGTTTGATTTTTTGGTTAGCCGAACTTTTAAATGCTAGAATTGAAACTCACACCCCGAAGTTTAGAAAACCAAACTAAATAAATCGATCTGAACCGATCTCTGAAATAACCGAACTGAAATTTCGGTTTCAATTGAATTATGCGCACTCCTACGAGGAAGCCCATGTTCTTTTTTCAAATTTATGTGGAAATCAGGAAAAGTTTATTTTCTTGGGTATCATTTACCTAGAAGATAGTTTCCAACAATTGGATGGGACAAAGATCCTTCCCAATGATAATAATTGAATATTAATGGAATTCAATTATGGTACATCCATTATTTTAAAGTTTATATTTTCTCCTTTTTTTGAATTTTTTAGTTTTTCTATTTCATGTCATTTTTTAAAGAACCAATGAGATGCTCTCCTTCCCCAACAATCTCTTCTCCTAAAATTTATCCTAAACTACCTCCCCCACTTTCTCCTAAATCATCTCCAATTCCTATTTATCTCTTAACTTATATCTAATTTACTAGAGAATTTTTATCCAAATTATCTCTAATTCTTGTTTATCGGCTTTGCCACTTTTTATCTATATCTACCTAAAGAAAGTTTAAATTAAAATTTAAAAAATTATATAATAACTTGAAAATATTTATTAAAAACACAAAAAATAATTATAATATATTTAATAATATTCATATTATTAATAGTTTTATATTTGCACAAAATTCATCACGAAATTATATACTAACAATATAAATTATGATTTTTCAGATTATTCAAATAATAGAAATTTAACATTAAAAAATAAAATATTATTTCAATATTTCAATAACTAAATATATTAAATAATAAAATATTAAAACTAGCTAAATAATTATATAAAAAATATTTAATTATATAAATATTTCAATAACTAAATATCTTAAATCCAAATAATGAGTATTTTTCAATATTTTACATATTATTTAAATAATTAAATAACTAAATGTTTTAAATAACAAAATATTTAACATAACTATATTTTATATAGTTAAAATAACGAAATCATGCAATAAAATAAAAAAATCCAAACATAATATTCAAATTAAAGAAAATTTAATATTTTTACAAAATTATGTAATAGTAGTATAAAGCTTAAAATAATTATAATAGATTTAATAATATTCCTATTATTAATAGTTTTATACTTTTACAAAATTCATCACGAAATTATGTACTAAACATATAATATGATTTTCCAGATTATTCAAATGAAATATTATTCAAATAATAGAAATTTAACATTAAAAAGTAAAATATTATTTTAATATTTCAATAACTAAATATCTTAAATTCAAATAATGAGTATTTCTAAATATTTTATATATTTTTTAAATATTTAAATAACTAAATATTTTAAATAATAAAATATTTAACATAACTGTATTTTAAATAGTTAAAATAACAAAATTACGCAAATAAATAAAAAATTATAACATAATATTCAAATTAATAATGATTTAATATTTTTACAAAATTAATAATGGAATTATGTAATAGTAGTATAAACTTTAAAATAATTATTAAAAACACAAAAAAAAATTATAATAGAATTAATAATATTCATATTATTAATAGTTTTATATTTTTACAAAATTCACCACGAAATTATGTACTAACAATATAAATTATGACTTTCCAGATTATTAAAATTAAATGTTACTCAAATAGAAATTTAACATTAAAAAAATAAAATATTATTTCAATATTTCAATAACTAAACATCTCAAGTAATAAAATACTAAAGATGGATAAATAATTACATAGAAAGATGTTTATTTAGTTAAATATTTCAATAACTAAATATCTTAAATTCAAATAATGAGTATTTTAAATATTTTATATATTATCTAAGTATTTAAATAAATAAGCATTTGAAATAATGAAATATTTGACATAACTATATTTTAAATAGTTAAAATAACGAAATTATGCAATAAAATAAAAAATCTTAAAAATAAAAAAAATCATAACATATTATTCAAATTAATAATAATTTAATACTTTTACAAAATTAATAATGAA